TATTTCAAGATACATTATTTCCAACACCAGAAATGCGATTTTTTCATCATCATACATTTTATCAGCCAATAGCGTTTAATCAGGAGATTATTGATTATTGTTAGGTAATGTTGAAAAAGTTGGAATCCTTCTTAGTGACATCATTATTTATCAATATTTATCACTCAATATAGGTACTTCACATCATTTTTGCGATTGAATTGCGAAAATATATGGAATTCTATCTCTGGCTTTGTTTAAAACTTTAAATGATATAATATAATCTGTTGTTCTGAAAACATATTGTTCGAATAATATAACAATGGTAATACGATGTTTTTCAATATTTTTCACTTCTCTATTTGCAAATTTTCTCTTGGAAAAATATATGGAAATCTATCTCTGGCTTTATTTAAAACTTGAAATGATATAATATAATCTGTTGTTCTGAAAACATATTGTTCGAATAATATAACAATGGTAATACGATGTTTTTCAATATTTTTCACTTCTCTATTTGCAAATTTTCTCTTGGAAAAAGTCGAACAAACTCATAAAAGAATTCAAATGTAGCATGCCATGGTGGGTATGTTTTTTTCGAACTAATTCTTCAATTGGATTCTACTGGTTCGAATACAGCGAGAAAAATACAATAATATACCTACTGAACATTATGATGGATATATCTTGAAGAAATTCAAATAAAAAATTCTCGGATTATATTTATTTGTCAAATTCTGACGTCTGTCAGTCATTGCTGAGACTTCCAGATATAATGTTCGCCCTAACATTCAACGCACATACCACTGATGATGTATTTTGCAATAGCAAAAGAAACATTTGGTTCTTCAGGTTCCGTTCAACCAGGGCTTACCAGCCCTTTCAATCATTAACATTCTCGAAAGCATTCATTTTTATCGAATCCAGAAATTATTGATGTTTTCCATTTACATTTCCTTGTTCTAGATTTCGTTACTTCAATTCGCCAAAGACATAAACATTTCTTTCATTAAATCGAATCAATAATGTACTCTTTTTTGAAATTACGTTGTTTTATGGTCGCCAGTAATACCTTTTTCGTTGGAATCTTTTAGGGTATGTAAGTCCTTATTTTCAAATTCCGGATCCCTGTCGATTGACACAGATTCCTCACACGTAATGTTATCATTTGTTTCAAAAGGTCTCCAGAAAGCCATACTAATGAAAGTACCCAAAAACACTGAAATTTTCATAAAAATCGGTTTAAACGATGAGATTGGAACCTTTGGTGTAAAAATTGAAAACTTTTTCTTGAGATCAATTACCCTAAAACCAAACTGATATTTTTGCACTCGACGCGCGTTTCGCTAACAAGGTTAGCATCCTTAGGAGAAGCAAATTGATACTGAATCTGAAGACAAGGGTTGGCTGCTTATATACCAAAAGTTTTTTGGTCCGATGTGGACTTTGTTAAATGATGATTATCATAATTGATTTTTCGGTAATTAATTGGTGGAACCACTACCTGCAAATTTATTTGTCCGCTTTTTAATCTATTGTTGATAAATTAGTTTGCAGGTAGTGGTTCCACTAGTTAATTACCGAAAAATCAATTAGGATCATCATCATTTAACAAACAAAATCCATATCGGACCAAAAAACTTTAGGTATATGAACAGCTAATCCTTGTGTTTAGATTCAGTATCAATTTTCTTCTCCTGAAGATGCTAACCTTGTTAGCGAAACGCGCGTCGAGTGCAAAAATATCAGTTTGGTGTTAGGTTAATTGATCTCTAGAAAAAGTTTTCAAAAATTGGTTTGCACTCACTACCTCACCTAACACCACGAACACACGGCACTGATAAAAAAATATTGAGAAACGGACAGAAAATTAGTATTTAGCCAGTCTAGCTAGCCGAGCCTTCACTCCTCAACTACATTTGATAGCACGTTTACTAACTATCTGGGCGACTAGGGACCACAGGCAAGAAATGTTTATGACTGTACTCTTATTTTTATTGGAGGAAGACATTGTTCAATCAAGCAGGAAACTTAAAAACAAACTGAGTAACGGTACTGATGATTTTCCACCTGGATTACTAATTCACTTCTAACCGTATTCTTTCATATTTTTAATATTTGTTTACAGTCAGGAATATTTCCAGATCGAATAAGGCTGGCAAAATAGAAGGATATGTGTAATTGAGAAAATTGCGAGACTGATTTGGAAACAGATGGATTGCTACAAATGATCCTGTTAAGTGGCCTAATCGTTTACTAGACATGACAACTTTAGATTTTATTTTTGGGGATTTCTGTATGACAACTACATGGTGAAGGGCCGAATCAGTAGACTTTCCTGGAGTATATGCATGCTAATTTGGATGTAGTGCTACTATAAATATGTCTATTTTTAAATAAAATTGCTTGCCAAAATCGTTTTTCCTTTTTTTTCTTTTTCAATAAAGTCAATGCAAGGAAAGCAGCACTAGCTATCAATCATTTTTCATGCTCAGCCATATTTACCGCGCTCGCACTGCTCGCACAAAGTAGATGAATAAATTCCAAACTTGAACATATTCGCTCTGGTGTAGACGAGATATCAATATGTCGAGCAAATATGAGCAAACATACACGAATGTTCGCTCGTGCTCGATCTTTTGGTGAATACGCAACTTAATAAGAAACCAATAACAATGGTATCGTTGATGTTCTCATCAAACAGGAATTTTATATTGTTCAGTTTCAAATGAAAACGTCAATTTACCATTCAGAACTCAGTGCGAAAAGTTGAGTTTCGATTACTTATTTATAAACACAAATCAATTGTGAAACTTTTTACAATTACTATATTATGAAATATGTAGGTAATACAGTTACTATGCTCCTTCAAAAAATAAGATGAATGTTAGTTGTAAATGAAGAGTTCAAAACACTTGAAATATTGACAGTGACATACGAAGATGGTACTCTGAGTCGGAAAAATGTATCTCATTCTCATTCAACGGATTTCCGTCGAGTATCGGCCAATTCCTCCACATATGTGAAATATTTTATTTAATTCCAGGTCGACAAATGGTGTACCAAAGCGACCCCACCGTTCTTTTCACATAGCCTGGACTCTGATTTGGGTTGTGGTGGTGAAGTGGAGCATAGCCAGGATTCTCAAGTAAATTAGTTGAAGTACCAGATATGTATATTATAGGAAGACTCTTGAGTATGTGATGTGCCAAGATTCAGGTTGATCAGTGGATATTGAATATATTATTGAGTCAAAAAGTTGGAAAATGATTTGGATTCAGCCACATTTGTGATATTTCGATTTCTAATTGTTATTTCGATGAAGAAAGATATTTTGGGGTTACTATTTTTGTCGATAAATGGAAATATTTTCTGAAAGAATTCAATCTCCAATGTACTAATTTTGGTATATTGATTGTTAATTCCAAATTAAAACACTAATGATAAAGATATAGCCCAAAATCTTTTTCTAGTGTCTAATTCTTAAAACAGTTCTTGAGTAATACTTTGAGCAGATATAATTGATAGTAGTTTTTTTTTATTTTCGAAATCATACTTCTTGCCTTCTAATTCTGAGTTATGTTGGATCATTTTCAGGAAAAAGCTTCATTCGTTAAAAAAGTTTCCTCATTGAGAAAGGAACAAGTACTGATAAAATTCAATTTGTCGAATATATTGTTTTTGTGAAAGTTATTTCACTAGACACAAGGAGTCTCTTTGACACGATAATCTTCACAAAAATGCGACTTCAATTTTTTATTGATGGATAACAATAATATGATGGATAAATGATGAGAATATGTTTATATTCTCATGATGATAGCATAGAGTCCAGGGGTATTCAGATTTGAAAACTCAACGGACTATCAAAATGAATTGTTAAAATTTAATTTCATACTTTCACCTGTTTTCATTTTTAGGAAGTATCTTCCATTTCCATGTCTTTTTCAGAGTTGTTTCAAATTCCTCTGAAATCTATTGTTTTGGTTGCATATTGCAGATATTTTCAAATGAAAGTACTTATTTTCTTGAGATAAAAGTAAGTGAGTTCAAATAAGGGTGGAGTGAGGTGTCTGTTAAAAAAAAATTAATATTCAGTCATCAATATCTGTGTCTTGGCCCTTTTGAGGAATGTTTTGAAGAACAAATTCACTAAATTAATGTTTTTAATAAGCGTAGATGTAGGGAACTCGGTTTGCTCATTTCCATTGCATTTGATGGTAGTATACTAAAAATAACAATGTCTCCATTTAGAAACAATCGCACTATCAGAAATATCATATTTTCAAATTCGTGAGTTACAATATAATTTTTTTGATTTATGATATCAGATTGCTTGAAAAAGTTAGTGAACTTCTGGAAATTATTAACGTTTCCATAATAAAAAATTGGTGGACACCCCTTGTTTGGAAATATAAAACTAATTTATTCAAATGAAAATAATTCCTAGTTTCAGTTAATAGCCTTTACTGATACATTTCATTTCCTCTTTCCATTTCCTACATTATTATATCTCTCTCATTCTCTGAAATTGTACCAATTGGAATCAAAAGCATCTACGTTCGAATTTGTTCGAACACACAAGAGTTCAACATTCTACAGAATTTTCTCTGTCAACATAATTTAAAAAACTTGTGGTTGCAAGGTATTTAAATTAACTCTAGCAGTAACACTATCATACCTTCACAATAAAATAGCAAAAATTTACTGCAACAACCAACAAAAGTTTACCAGTAACTAGAAAGTCTGTTCGAATAAATCTGAAGTCAAACTGCAGATTCGGATGACGAAGAAAAAATTTACATCGCTGGATTGTATAATATACCCTGGTAGGTAGGCATATAGTTATTCGAGTGAAGTTGAGTATTTTCCAGTATATAAACAAGATGAAAATCTACCGACCAAAGTTGTTGTCTCCGTTAATAATAATTTTTGTAAAGTATTTTTGGTAGATAAGGAGGAAAGGACAAGTGCACTGAATAACTAGTTTTTTACTGAGTGTGAATCAATAAAGTTTTGTTTTTTCATAAACGTAGAAAACACTTTTGATATTTGATGAACTTCTCTTTGTGAAATTCCAAAAGAAGAGTATTTCTAGTTACAGGTGATTATGTTAGTTAACATCTTTGAGATGATGGAAATGCCTAATTAATTCGCTTCTTATTCAGTGGAGTTGGAGAGCACTTTCTCTTGAACTGTCGATTGCCCCGCTATTCAGAAATTAGCTATAAAAGCTACTTTAACGAAGTACACATTGAATAAACGAAGATAAAACTGAAATTTTGTTACGAAGTACTCCATTTTATTTCATCAGCAAACTTTGTTCTCCAATTCTGAATTCTCCTAAATGCCAGACCAGGCCAGACTAATAACGTCTCTAGCGAAAACGAGCGGCGTATATCAAAATAAATGGCAAAAACCTTTACTTTGAACATGAAATGACTTTACACAGGTTTCGTCTTCGCACGGGAGGATATATGACTCCCGTGAGTTGGCACAATCTCTTTACTCTGGTGTCGTATATAGCTGGCATCGTTTATTATGTGGAAAGTTCTTCATTGATAATACTCCTAGCAGGGCTGAAACACTGAGAAAACAGTTTATTTATGCTTTAGAAGTTTTATTGAATTATAACATATATCTATGTTGACTATAATCTGAGTTATGTTTGTTCTTCACTAACAGATGGTAATTTGTAAGAAATCAAATAAACATGTTGTTAATTAACGAAATAAAAAAAAGACCCTAATTATCAGCTACTATTCACGTAAATATACCAAAACCAGTTTATGCTTAAACTTCATTCATTTAATAAATTGATTACTACGTAGCAAGAGCTCATTATGTTGTCAGAAAACGTTATGTTCTAAGGCGAAATAAAAGTCATTTTCGTATTCAGCACACTCAAAAGATAAGGATTACGCAAAAAACAGCTCACAATAATTTTTTTTGCAGACTTGGTATTATATATTTTGGAGAGTTTTCATGAGAATGTCACGTGTTAAATGAAATAAAGGGTGTTCCATTAAAAAACAAACTTTGAGAGTAAATATGGGAATCAATCAAATAAGCCAATGAAAGTCATGACGTACTGGGATCGATGACGTTAATAGATTCAACTCATTCGTGACATAAAGTCATGATTTCATGAATTATCTGAACACTGTAAAGTTTTCAAACTGAAATAAATCTTTTTTTCCATATCTCTGAATTATACCAAAACCATAAAATATTGAAACATAATTGACTTATTTTCGAATCAAATTTTCAGATCCTCGGTCTGATTTTCAGTTTCGGTTATAAATTGTGAATGAGCAATATTTATTTTTCAATAATTTAGTAGTATACATTTTAATTTTTCCATTCACAATAATGCACATAAAACATTATTACTAAAAAACCTATTCATGTTATTAAGGGAATCAAATTCAGGTTCACGCTATTTCCAATCATTTTCTGAAAATTGCTCACTCGTTGTGAATTGTGTGATATACAGGGTATAGCGTGATGACCACTGATTGGTCGTATTTAAAAGTTAACATTGAAATATAAAGGACATTTCAAGGTGATGTCTGGAGTATGGAACATGATCTTTGTGAGAATCAAAAACACAAAATACAGAATGAAACCCTTATTTTTGTGTTACCGAAATTGATGTTGACTTTTACCTTTACTGCTAGTTTGTGTTCATCTTTGCGTATGTTGAATTGCCCGTCGGTCTGGCCGATGTAAGTTTTTTCACAGTCTTGGCATGGTATTTCATGCACTCCTTGGGACTCCCGTGGTATCTCATCCTTGAGATTATAGAGCATGGACCTTATTGTACGAATGAATTGGCTATGTTGCCAATTCATTCGTACAATGGTACGAATGAATTGGCTATGTTGTGTTGGTGGAGAATTCTGCTGATTTTGTCTGTTGTTTCTGCAATATATGGTAATGTGGTTGTTATGACCGATGTATCTCGAGTTGTCTGCTGTTTCCGTGTGGGATATATATACACATATGCATATGTATGTAGTGAACAGCTTCATTACGAACGACTTATAACCTTTATGCGAATGTTTTTCAGCAGAAATGATGTTTTAAACACAGACTTGAAAATTCAAAATAACAATTTTAATATCTATATCACCATTTTGGGCATGCACTCCTGAAAAATGTTCTTAATAACAGGAGACGTATCTATCATCTGCAGAGAAATGAGAGAAATGAGAAAAGTTCAAACGTTTCAATAAGTCACGATGCCAGAATGTGTACTTGAGGAAAAAACAGTTTCAATAATTTTTCAAAAAGCTGAAGATGTATATGTTGACCTTGAATATGTCATCTTGCGATATGTGAACATCCATAATGTGTGCAAGTAACATTTTATCGTGAGATTTGCATTGAATATTTTACAAAGCTACAACACGTATTTCACTATACAGTAGCTTGTTCAGGAGGGTTCATATTTCGCAGGTTCAACAATCGAAACCTCTTGATGAAATATTACGAGTACTTGAATACATGCCATTTTGACAAAAATACAGAAATTTCTTTAAGTTTTCATTGTCACACATGACTGGTTGCCTTTCATTTTTTGAATGATGTTATAGTCCGGTTATTATAGTAAGTTCACCTCAATTCGAGATACCCAGCTGTAAGTCTGTAAGTACTTGTATATTGACACCCTAAAAGTTGTCTGAAAACCTACATATGGTAGGGTGTACGCAATTATTGAATTTCAAGGTCAAAGGTCACAAAAATCGGTTTCTTGCGCTTTTTTTGTAAATATCTCATTTCCTATTGGTTTTTTGCCATTTGTTTTCATCATCAATATTGTAGATTACAAAATTCTCTACAAATTCTGTTGAAAAAAATTTTTCATACGGTGAACCGTTTTCGAAATAAAGGGCGGAAAGCGCCCTTTATTTTGATATACAAGATTTACAGACTTACAGCTGGGTATCTCGAATTCCATGATTCTTACCTAATTTAAGCTTGAATGACTGGAGTATTAGGTACCTATTGTTGTATACAAAATTTTAAGCTCAGTTTGTGATATTAATTTCTACCCAGGAAGCTACGGTGTTAGCGAAACGCATCTAGAAGTGAAAATGTTTGTGTATTTACTATCATGGTTAGTTATAGTCATCTGTACATAATTTATGTCGAATCATTTCAAAAGGGTATTTCATTTTCGCTAATGAATGGTTGATTTTTTCATACTGAATCGATTCATAAACTGAATAATTTCGCCCTTTGATATTTATGAGGTGATTGTTTCTAATATTTGATCACAATACTGCCATAATGAAATGTACCCAACTACTTTATATTTATATGTATATGTCAATTCCTCATTATTTGTTAACAAGTTTGGTAATTTCGTGTAAGCAAATCTCTTACAAATGATTATTCACATCTACTTCGAGTGAAAACATTGATTTGATTTTGTATTTTTTGATTCGTTCTGTTAACACACAACAAATTCTATATATATATATTTGATAGCTTTACTTGATTGTATTTTTATTCTTCACCCAATTTATTTTCATTGCGTTGCTCAGGTCTTCAAAGAGACATATTGTAAATGTATAAATTTCATTAATCCACTCAATGTTTGAATCATGTAAATAAATGCACATTTTTCTTGTGTTTTGCGAAGAGTGGATGAGTTATGCAACGTGGAAAAAAATAAATGAACAAAATAACGAGACTAGCAAAATTAAGTTTTGGACCTTTTTTCAAACTACAAATAATTCACTCAATATTTATTATAATTTTTTATATGAGTAATTTTGGTATATTTTCTGTCTAGTTGTTAAAAGCACTAATATATGAAATAAATCATTATTATTTTTTTTTATTATTATGCATTTCTTTGTGTCAAATTCACACCACACTTCGCAAGATAATACCAACATGATATCAGTAACTGAATAAATAATAATAACTTTTAAATATGTTCAGATGCACCTTTAGATTGACTGTTATTTTTGTGATAATAAAATAGGCACTAAATAATATGATGTACCTATATAAAAATAAATGAAAATACTTTTTCTAATGTTTCATTTCTCTTCATCTACCATACTTTTTTCTTCTTCAGTCAATTTTCGTCTTTCTAAGGTTTGTAGACAGGATGCAAATATAATTATTCGCAGAAAAGGCAAGCAGAACGAATAATAATAATATTCAACATGCGTCGTCTGCTAAAAATAATCAGAATATGAAAACACTGAAGTTCCTCCAATGTGTTAGGAGTTTCAGTGTGTCAGAGGTTCTTTTAGTGACTCAATGATATTTCTATTTTCTGAACATTTGAAATAATGATGCCTGGAAGTTGAAATCACTGGAGTTCATAAAACTATTATTGATTAGTTCTCACGGATAATATCCATTGCTTTATCGATTTCTATTCACTCACATCTCTGCCGCATATATTATCGTTCTCT